AATAAAAAAACTTGTTAATTAAATAGCTACTTGTTAGTACCAAGCTTTCTATAAAATTAGTAATTTAAAAAATTAATATGGCAGAAATATAACAATCTATAAAAACAGGATCAAATCACAATTACTGTAACCTGAAAAAAAGAAAAACTAAATTCTTAAAAACAATAAAATACAGGGTGTCTCAAAAATTACAGTACAAACAAAAATTGGATAATCAGTTTCAGGCTAATTGATTGGTCATTGTGGCCTCCAAAATCCCCAGACCCTAATCCTTTTGATATTTACCTGTGTGGGCACTTGAAGGCTTTGATGTATCAAGAAGTTTCAAAACACAAATTGCCTAAAGAAATGCATATGAAGTTCAATTAGGTGCATAACATCTGAGGTATTAATACGAGTTCAATTTGAATAGGAGACGCATCCATATGTGTTTAGAAAGAAATGGCCAACATGTAGAGATATTAAAAAAATGTAACTTTATAAAATTAAGTGCTAAATTTTCCTGTGTATTGTAATTTTTGGGATACCCAATGATCAATGCAGATCATAAGACTGATCAATTATTCTGTAATCAATAGTTTTTTACCTGTAAGTAACATTTACACAAATGTTTACACCTGTGAATAATGTCTCATTTACCAAAATTTTACAAATTATAAGATTTATTAAGAATTTTATAATAAATTATTTTCCTATTACAGTGGTGCCTCGTATAACATATGCCTCGAATAACGGACTTTCTGTTTGACTGTTACGTGACTCGAGCAACGGACTTGCTGCGAACAATGGACTTTCCGTTCAGCAGTTACGTGAGATGAACAATGGACTTTTTTCGAACAAGTGCGAATGATGTTTCCACTCTTTTGCCGTTGCCAATGACAATCTGCTATTTTTAGGATATATTAGTATTATTAGAATGTATTATTAGTATATCTGAAGTAGAAATGTAATGTAATATATGTTGATGATTTAAATAAACATTAAATGTAATGTAATATATGTTGACGATTCAAATAAACGAAATGTAATTGTGTAGATGCCGAGGTGGCGGGACGAAAAGAGGTTGTAAAAAACAAACGGAGCGAGAGTAGCTCGTAGAAGTGTTTAGTGATCTTAATTAATAAAGAATTATTCGTATCATATAATCTGGCAAGTTAAGTCATTTATAATGCATCATGGCTTCTAAAAAAACAGAAAGGTGATTTCAATTGAAACAAAGCAAGAAATCATCAGGAGTGAAAGTTGACAAAAACTTTCTTGTCGAATGGGGAGAGGTTCAGGAGTTTACCAACACTCATTATCCAAACAGAGCTGAGGCCAACAGGATCAATGATCTCTACGATGACACCTTTGTCCGTCATTTCCGACAGGTGTTAAAGAAGAAAGAGAAACAGACCACCTTGGTCATGTTTTTCAAGAAGCCAGCGGGCAAAAAACAAAGGATGGAACAAGAGAAGTTGACCCTGCAAGTTCCGGTAGCCTCTCCTGAATCTGACTCCGATTAAAAAACAATAAAAAAAAGACCCGCTGCAATGTGTAAAAAGTCTGTATCTTATGAATGTGTAAAGAAAGTGTTCTTCCACCTCCTCCTCACAACATCTGACTACCCGGCATAATTGGTGTCTGCTCCATTTTCATTTTTTATGATACAGTATGGTTATTTTATGCTGCAGAACGAATTATATGTTTTAACATGTATTTCTATGGGAAAATGCGTTTCATATAACGGACGTTTCACTTAACGGACGTGCACCTGGAACGGATTAAGTACGTTGTACGAGGCACCACTGTATTTTCAATTCACTATTAAAATCATCAATTATAAATTTCATTATTTTATGGAATGCAATTCCTTGCCAACCTGAATACAGAAATTAGCTATATACGAGGCTTTCAAAAGAAATTAAAATCAAAGTCTATAACTTGATTATTATTCCAATTCTAACTTATGATTCAGAAGTTTGGATTTTGAATAAACAGAAAGAAATGAGATTGGCTACATTTGAGATGAAGTGCCTCTGAAAAATAAATGGAACAAAATGGATTGAACTAAAGACTAATGAGAGAGAAGGCTTGAATTATAACAAGAATATGGAAAACCATAGTGGTTCGTCCATGTCAAATGGAGAAGCCAGAAAAATTACCTTATAGAAAGCCCACTATGAAAGAATGGAGGGAAAAGACCTAGGAGATAGAGGAGAAAGTGAATAGAATCAATGAGAGATGCCTCACAATTTTGGACCTACTAACAGCTAAAATCTCAGGCTAGAGACCATGAGATAAGGAAGAGAAGATTGAGATCATGGAAAACTCAACCCATCATTGATAGAATAGTTTGAAGAATAAAATACACTGTTTATTGTTGTGATATAACAAATCAATTCCAGAACTTAAAATAACAAAATAGATTATAAAAACTAAGTAAATATAGTATATATATAATTAAAAATAAACTTCTCTTTTAGTCAGTTTTGCTAAATGGCAAAAAGAACTTATATTTAAATAAGTATATAAGCATTAATTTAAGTATATTTAGCTTGAAATATTAATAATTTTCTTTAACATTTTAATTTTATTATTACTCCAATTTTATAAGCAACCATAAAAAATTAAACATTATCACTAATAACAAATCTGGCAGATTGTTTGGAAATACTAAACAACAAATTTATATAGTCAGAACTACAAAAAAATCTATAAACTGAATTGCTATTATTATTATGCATGTAAGATCTGGATAAAAAAAATTAAAATCAGAATTTAAAAATGTCTCATATTTATTAAAATTCATATATCTGTTATACACAAAAAAAATTAAAACATTAAATTATCTAATTAGAAAGTAAAAATTTCTAAAAACTTATTTTTAACAAATAAGACTTATACAAAAATAAACAGTCCTTTTTTAACTTTCTGCATCACATAATTTCTATGTATAAAACAAAAGTCTATATATATACATTACACAATTCCAACATTTTTTGACAAAATTTCAAACTTGTTTTTCAAATACTTGTTTTCAATATGATATTTTAAATGTAAAAGATATCGATAATAATATTTTAAACATAAACCATAACCCCATGTTCAATTAACCATAGACCAAATTGATTATTTAATAAATAGCATTATAACTATGTTATGCCTGTATAAATTATTATAATTTGTGATAATCCAGTTTTTAGGTTTTAAATAACACTTTAACAAAAAACATTAAAAATATATATCATAGAATTATGATTATTTTATGAAATTTCTCAGTTTTGTAAACATAAATAAAAATAAAATTATTAACTAAATCTAAAATAAAATCTAATCAAGAAAATTAAACTATTTTTCACTCATAAACATTTTTATTAAATGAACTTAAAACACTAACCTTAAATACTTCAAAATATGAATTATAGCCTAATACTATGATAGAAGACTTAATAAGGTAATAATAATGACAAGTAAGAAAGGCATTCAAATCAATATGTTTACATCAAGAAAATATTTAACATTAATTTAATTAGCTATAATTTTTTAATACCAACTGCTTCATATGATAATAGTTTTAATGTTATAAATCACATACATGGCCTATAGGCCATAAAACAAAAATTGTATATATAGCTTTCAAATAACACAAAAATTGTATTTTAAACTAAACAACAAAATAATCTAAATAAAAACAATAAAATCATTTCCAAATTTAATGACTATTTTTAAAAAATCTTCATATTAAAAAAAACAAACTACAAATTATACTATTAATTCAATTTGTTAATGGTTGTTTATTTAGATTATACAGTATAATTTATTGTATATTTGTTTATATTTATTTATAAAGAAGAAAGACATTATTCAACAGTTTAAAAAAATATAAATAAAAATTTACTTTAAAAAAATAATCCTTAAAACAGACTAATATTTATCAGATGTATACTTGCTTTGTAATATAAAATAGATAATTTTGTATACTTACTTTGTATACCAAATAGATAATTTTGTAATTTGAAACTCTATTATTATAAAAATATATTTATCTTTTTCTTTTTTTTATTTAAACCTTTTTTTTTAATATAAAAGAATAAAACTATTTTTACTTTAAAATATTAAGTGTTTTCAACTCAACAAATTATATCTATTTAGTAACTGAATAAAATTAGTTAATGATTAGGGTAATTTGGCACTATTTTGCTTGTTTTCAAATTCTATTTCAATACACAAAAAAAGCTGACACCAGGAAAATTTAACCATTTGTGATTATATAAAACAAGTCCCTAAATTTAAAAATGGCCTTAGGATGATGATCTTAATTAAAATCGTATAAATAACGAAAAAAATCAATTTCAGATACAAATTCTGCAATAATATAATCAGAGTTATTGCTTCGAAATCAAAATGTTTACAAAACGTCCATTCATTATTATTTATAACTGAGCTTTTAAATAAGAATATTTGATTAAAATTGATCTTTTTAAGCAAGAAAATTAAAAATTTACAGATAACCTTTTTAGAATTTCAAAGTTATTGGACATTTCAACAAAGTTACCGAAAATACATTAGCATTCTTTCAATTTCAATTACTTGTAATATATATTTAAATCTCAAAATATTTTATAGGTTACATTTCACCAAATAAATATTTTATGCACATGAGTGTATAGAAACTTATATTACTATTAAACAAGCTTAATTCACAGCACATATAAAGTAGATGATTAGATTTTTTTTGTTTATGTCAGAATTATTCGATTGGATGGAAATCGTTAAGGTAGAAACATAAGATATTCCGTGTATTTTTTTTCGTATTTATACAATTGTTTTAAAATTAACAACAGTCGACATTCATTGAGTGGAAGCGAGAAACATTTAATTCCACTGGTTTGAATTACAGCAAATGCATTTAGAGAAACGGAAAGATTTCGCGGTAAATCGATGGTGAACGTAATTTTCGCCTTTTAAGAGGGCAAACGGATAAATATTTCGTGTAATTTGATTAAACAGAATCTTACCCGTATCCATGCTTCTTGTATTCGACTTTGTGCCCTTTCATCTTAGCTTTTGGTCCTTTTGCTCTCTTCTTCTTGGCCTGTATGGCCATGACTGAAACGCAAAAACGTCCGTCACTAATTTAATTCTTTATTAAGCTTCAAATAACACATACACGATTTTATTTATCCCATACCTCGTCGATTCCAATCTGCATTCATCTTGTCTTTCCAATTCGTTAGGTTTCGTGAAATCACCACTACGCTTGCGCGTATGTATCTTGTAAAAACCTGAATACCGCACGGAATGCTTATAATGTTGCCAGTTGGTCTGGAAAAATAAATTCGAATCGTCGTAAACACTTTTTTGCAGATTTATAAACGTAAATAAGAGCCAAAATTTTTATTAAAATTTAATAAGTTAAAATATGTTTTAAGATAACTTCTCGTTAGTTTAAATGGGAAAATTTTGACGGTTAAGGTGGAAGCCTACCGTTCTGGGGATTCGGGTTCGAATCCGTACGGGTCGAAAAATCCCCACGAATTTTTCGGGGATGATATGTCGTTACCCGACCCTCACCACCCGGCTGCCCCATTGTGGTCCTGGTTAACCCATAATGGACTTGCTATAAGAGGTCTTCTTAGTTCCCACAGCGCAGAAAGAGCGCGGCCGGATGGCCGAGCGGTCAAGATGGCAGCCTACCGCTCTGGAGGACCCGGGTTCGTCCGAACGGGTCGAAAAAATCCCCAGGAATTTTTCGGGGGAGGTCCGCTCAGATATGTCGGGTCCCGTCTCTCACCACCCGACAGCCCGATTGTGGCTCTGGCCGAACCCATAATGGGCTTGCAAAAAGAGGCCCTCTTAGTACCCACAGGGCGGAAAGAGTAAGAAAAAAAAGGCAGGAAGAGCAAAAGAAAGAAAAGTGGGGAAAATTTTAAAGAGTTACCAAGGTCTAAAAACGTAATTCATTTTTTACTTACGCTTACGTATACCAAGATAACAACCATTTACAAGAAAAAGAAAAATATATTTAAATGTTCTAACACACCCTAACCAGTTTTTAAACATTATAATAATAATCACTGCTTACCGTTTTATCGAATTTTATAAAATACACTGTGTGAAAACACAATAAAATTATAACAATGTAATGAAATCATTAATATATGTTATTGAATACTTCGCCGTGCGCAAAATAAAGAAAATGTAATAAAAAAATGCAAAGAAATCTGATTCAAAAATAGCTTACTAAAAAGGAAGATAATAGATTGGATCTGGGTTTGGCCAGGACAGTTCTTGAATCATAGCATCGTTCGGGATTGCGTCCGGAAATGAAAACAGTTCGGGATTTTTTATATGGAAAAGAAACAATAAATAAATAAATAATTTTTTATAATTGCAACAGTAATTTATTGCTTAATGTTTGTCACAAGGATTTAATATAGTAAAGAAATCGAAATAATATATATGTTTTATTACAAACAGAATTTTATAATCCTAAAAAATATGTTGGAAAAGTAGCAGTTTAGCGCAATTTTAGAAAAGTTTAGTATAATTTTTATCAAACTGGCAAAGTTGTTCTCATTAGTAATAGCAGCGTGTATGTGTGCAGCGCGGAGTCGAAGTCGAATGTTTTTTTACCGACTCTGCAGTCCTGTTTATAAGTATTCAATTTTACACTTATTCTTAGATATTTACGTTTATATTACATTATCGCTTACCGTTTGTGCTATGTTTAGAACAGTGGTTCCCAAAGTGGACGCTACCGCCCCTGAGTAAACCTAGGGGGCGAAAAAAAGCAAGGGGCGCTGGAAAGGTACACGACAGCTGGGCGACGATCAACTGGGCAATAGTCAAGTGGGCGACATTCATTTAGTGAAAGACCGTCATTTAGCCAACAGAATCTTAAAAATTTATACACGCTTAGCATGCATACGATTTGGATATATATAAGAGGTTGTCCGTAAATTACGTCCGCATTTTTCTTGACATTTTTACTCCTTCTCCCCTCTTCGGACTTCAAAAAACTTGCGCTAAACTTTCCTTAAAACCTTTAGAGGAAAAGGTGGTACAGTATTATGGAACACTGCGGGTATTATGGAACCACCCATTTTCGAACTGATAATAAAGGCGAACTGTAGCCCCATTGGTGCCATGTGAAATATGGACCCCATTGGTGCTTTTACAGTAATATGGAACTCAACTCCTCCGAACTCTCTCTTTGCAAGCAGACATTCGTCCGGAGCAATTTGTGAAAAAGACATTAGGTAGAAAGCAGGGGCGCCGCTAGCTGTTTGAACGCCCGTGTGCAATACCGATTATGCCGCCCCCTGTTTAACTACGACTACCTACGCCGAGCTTGCCAGAAAGGCTCTTTAGTGTTGTCTCATAAGGGTGTGAAAAAAGAAAAGAAATACTTTATAAAGAAAAACTATTTATTATTACTAAATTATTTTTGTTTACTTAAGTGTAAAACCATATAAATAATTATCTACAGAAATTGAACTCTTCTTGCCTTTATGTTTGCAAAATCTGCTATCAATTTTCTTGTATCCAAGCTGTCTAAGATTTCGTGTTCCATTGAAACTATAGCTAAATTACTTAGTCTTTGCTGGTGCATTGTTGATCTTAAATAGTTTTTGTTTTTTAATTTTTAACTTTGAAAAGGACCTTTCACCAAATGCAACTGAAACCGGCAATGTAAATACAGTACAGTAATATTCTTAGTGCTATTGCTGTGTTCGGAAATGTCGAAATTAAGTCATTAGTAAAAAGATACTGTAATAGGGTTTGTGGATCATTAGACTGGTTTTCTGGAAAATGCAACTTTAAAGTATTAATTTCATTAAACAAATCAATGCCATCAATGTCTGTTTCACTACTCGAATCGTCTTTAAGCTTCAGATTTAAATCCTAACCAAGTTAAAATATCATTAATTATACTTAGACCCATGTCAGAAGAGTTATTAACAAAATAATTGCAATTTGATACGCGATAGAACTGTTCGAATGCGTACAAGTACAAATTGAGAAGGAAGCTGTGTGGGGATTCCCTATTTTCGCCAGTCCTGTCAACTTCTGTCATAGAGCACGACTATGGGTACTTGGCTTTCGGACGCCGCTAGATGGTTCAACCTGCCGACAGACGTTTCGCATTGCATCTTAATTCTGATAAATGCCAATAGAGGCGCTGTTAACGCTATAATATAAATAAG